ACGTCTGGTTTAGACAGTCAAGCAGCGTTTTCAATTGTCAGATTCCTGAAGAAACTCTCCCAGGCCGGACAGGCCATTCTGTGCACCATCCACCAGCCCTCGTCCATGTTGATTCAGCAGTTCGATATGATTCTCGCCCTGAACCCCGGTGGTAACACCTTCTATTTCGGTCCAGTTGGCCACGAGGGTCGCGATGTGATCAAGTATTTCGCAGATCGTGGCGTCGTCTGCCCTCCGTCGAAGAACGTGGCTGAATTCATCCTCGAGACCGCCGCCAAGGCAACAACGACAAAGGACGGCAAGAAGATCGACTGGAACGAAGAATGGAGGAACTCGGAGCAGAACCAGCGGGTCCTGGACGAGATTCAGCAGATCCGCGAAGAGCGTAGCAAGATCCCCGTAACCGAGACAGGAAGCCCCTACGAATTCGCCGCGCCCACGATGACGCAGACTCTACTTCTCACAGAACGTATCTTCAAACAGTACTGGCGCGACCCGTCGTACTACTATGGAAAGTTGTTCGTCAGCGTCATCATCGGTATCTTCAACGGGTTCACCTTCTGGATGCTCGGCAACTCGATCGCCAACATGCAGGACCGCATGTTCTCCATCTTCCTGATCATTATGATTCCCCCCGTCGTCCTCAACAGCATCGTGCCCAAGTTCTACATCAACCGCGCCCTCTGGGAGGCCCGCGAGTACCCCAGCCGTATCTACGGCTGGTTCGCCTTCTGCACCGCCAACATCGTCTGCGAGATCCCCATGGCCATCGTCTCGAGCCTCATCTACTGGTTACTATGGTACTACCCCGTCGGCTTCCCCACGGACTCCAGCACCGCAGGCTACGTCTTCCTCATGTCGATGCTCTTCTTCCTCTTCATGTCTAGCTGGGGCCAATGGATCTGCGCCTTTGCGCCGTCGTTCACCGTCATCTCCAACGTAAGTCCACCCGCCTCCTTTCATCACCCGCTTCACCGCTAACCCCAGCAACAGGTCCTCCCCTTCTTCTTCGTCATGTGCAACCTCTTCAACGGTATCGTCCGTCCCTACCGCGACTACCCGGTCTTCTGGAAATACTGGATGTACTACGTCAACCCGGTCACCTGGTGGCTCCGCGGCGTCATCTCCTCCATCTTCCCCACCGTGCAGATCGACTGCGCCCCCTCGGAAACAACCCACTTCAACCCGCCCCCGGGCCAGACCTGCGCCAACTACGCAGGCAACTTCATCACAAACATCGCCAAGAACGGGTATCTGCTCAACCCGGACGCAAGCGCAGACTGCCAGTACTGCCCCTACAGCAACGGCGCGGAGTACATGGCCACGCTGAACGTGCACGACGGCGACAAGTGGCGCTGTTTCGGGATCTTTTTGGCTTTTGTGATTATTAATTGGCTGTTGGTTTATTTCTTTATCTATACGGTGCGTGTGAGGGGCTGGTCGTTTGGTATGGGGTATTTGTTTGGGGGCATGGGGTTGGTTATTGATAAGGTCAAGGGGATTTTTAAGAGGAAGTCGGAGAAGGCGTGAGGATATAGTACCCAAACGCAAGGATGAGATCAAAGTGATCTCAATGAGGGGGTCATAAAAGCATTCCCGTTGGATCATGATATTGATTTAGTGATATTCATTCTGCATATATAGAGCAATAATAATGCATAGACAGCGTTCTTCATAAATCATCTTCAATTCTCAAATCCCAAAACTACCCTGCCAATCACAGACACTACTCAGAAAAACCAAGGCTTAAGACCCGGCCCATATCGTTGCCCAGGGACCGTCATCGGCACGGGGACAGTATCTCTAAAAACATCCAGCATATCCGCCGATTCGGTTGCCCTTTTGCCACTGTCGTTATCCGAAACTTTATCTAATGAGTTGTCTTTGTCGAGGATAGGGACAAGGACACCGCATTCCCAGTTCCGGCAGTTGAGCTTGGGCTGCTTGGTTGTTTTGTCTTGGACGAGACGACCCCTTTGCGTCTAGTATTAGACTGCTTTCTGCTTCATTTTTAGGCGGGTATGCACTCACCACGCGCTTTCTGACAGATTCGCACTCCCCACGTACGCCCATCCTCGACACTGTGAGCTATTCGGTAATCGTATCGGCTCATCCGGTCTTATGAATAGGATCTGGAGAGCAAGATTGTGTCAGCTAGGATATTACCTCGGCAGAGAGGGGAAGAGCTACCTTGTTATGCATCAAGAGTCCCGGCCGCCGACTCTTACAGTCGCGCAGCACATGGCGCGGGAATTTCGGACCCTCGTACCATTTCGACTGGAAGCAGATTGTGCCGGCGCAGTCTGGCCCCCCGCGTGATTGCTCAACGGTCGTCTGTGAGGGGAAGTAAACCCGAAAGCGATCTTTCCATTCTTCGGCGGTGTTTTTGTGAATGAGCTGATCTGTGTCGTTGGGGTTGCGAGCGGGGAAGGTCTTGGAGGTTCGGAGGGTGAAGTCGGTTATACCATCGTCTCCTGGGAGGATTTTAGACTTCTGGCTGGATGGAGCGGTGCGAGTGCTTACCTTGAGAAGCGAGGTATATTGATCTTAGGAATTCGTCTGTGAGTGATCCTACCGAGGATGCCTTTGCGAGGTTAGTCGAGAAAGTCTGGATCTTGCTGGCCCATGGACTGCACATACGACGAAATCGATATTGATCGGCTTGGAAGTTCGCAAGCCTAATGCATTGACTGCACGCCCCAAGCCGCAGTATCCCGTTCTTCTCCATGTATTTCCTGTGTGTGACCCTCCGCTGTACAGCATGAGTAACGTTCTAGAATATCACGAAGGACTCTTACATAGTGTGAACTAGCATAATATGAGACGTTTGACTGAAGTCGAACTCGTCAAGTCTTGAAATGATATTCTCTTGCAAAGTACTTGCTCTCAGGAAGTAGACCAGGTCTTCCTCGAAGACGGTCTTGGAGCCCACAGAAGTCGTGGCTACCTTCCGGGGAAGATCGATGAGAAAAGCACTCTAAGCTAGAGTCAGCAACGGCATGTAGATAGTATTGCTTTAACATACGTTTTCCATCACGCCCCCCATCTCGCCCCAATCATATGGTGTCAGATTCGCAGTCGGAGCTACAATTCGTAGGTATCCCGGGTGAAAGAGGAGCATCAGTTTCGAGTGCATGCAGTTCACCTGTCCCTCCATGGGTGGAAAGCACAATCTCAGGTTGCTCATCGACGCGGTTTCTGCCTCATATTGACGTTTCTGATGCCGACTTGATCAGTATTGTATTTCAAGTAGAACATACAGGGGGTCAATCACCGTCAACTCATCTTTAGCCTGCATTACCAGGAGAAAACGAGTGCTTTTCGTATCGACCTTCGAAAAGAGCCATTCAATGTCCCACATAAATGAGCTCAAAATGGCCAGCTCTAAATCACTTCTCTGAAAGACCTCCTCGATTGTGATATCATCCCCTGTCCGTGGGCAGTACTGCGCGTACGTTTTTTTGACGACTCCCTTTGGGAACTGTACACCTGGTGTCCGAGAAGGATTGGGCAAGCGTGGCGTCGACTCTACTGTCTCATGTCTTGCTCGAGGAACACCAATGCTAGGTGCATATTCTGTTGATACAGAACCGCTGCTGCTTCGACGTGCCGGCTGATTCGATTCATTCTTTGAATATTTGGCCTGGCGATGATCAATGGCCCCAACATCATCCGCTTTTCTCTTCGCAATGCGGGCGAGGCGTTCTTCCTCCATCTGCTTGCGATTAAGGCCCAGGAGCCCTGATGGTTGTGAAGGTTTGTGATCTGCTGCGGAACTTTCTATCTCTGGGGGTAGACCATGTTGTTTGTTACCGTGTGATTGATAAGGTGAGTTCTTGTCCGTATCCTCAGAGTCTTGCAGGGACAACGCAATGGCTCTTTTCAGATCTTCATCTTCATCGTCTTCATCTTCAACTTCAACTCCATCCTCATCAGCATCTGTATCAGATCCAATAACTGATTTGGACTTTGGAAAAATAGGAATGACTTCATCATCGTCTGACTCTGCAGTAAGATCGACGACGTTGTGTTGGGGTTCATCAGCTGGACTAGCACCGTCATCGTGAAGGTCCCTCAATGAGGCTGCGATGGCTGCTTTAAGGTCTGGGTCTGTCAAATCTTCTGGCTCCATTTCCAGTTGGCCCAGGATCACAGACTGCAATGAGCGGGATATTTTAACGATGCAGAAATGAGACAAATTCAAAAACAGCACTGTAGTAGACACGAGACACTCCCAAAATATTAAGGGGTTTCAATGAGACGCAATGTAGCCCTTGTTGTCGTCTTCTGTGAGACCGTGCTGTGATTGTTTATGGTAAGACGTCACATAAACGGCTTTGGACACTACGCGTCCCACCTGGCTGTGTCCAGTTGACACTTCCGCTATGAGCCTATGACACCTGGTGAATATGTATTATATTGACAAAATAAACAACAATCGACGACGTCCCAGAAACGTAAAAATCTTGCAAAGTTACAACTGGTGGCCAGGCTTATTCTGCTCCTTGAACCTCACTGAGACACGTGACCATCTCTGATGCTGAATATCAAGAGAACATCTAGAGTGTGTCCTTAACTATGGCACTCATAACTGACAGTCATAAATCAAGTCTGCCGAAAATGAGGTCTGATGTACATCTACAAAGATACAGGTAGGTTATCTAGTATAAGCTCTCAGGGTTTTACAGTGAGAGATCATATTCTAAAATCGTCCATCAGCACGAAGGTCTAAGTTGAATGAGCTCAGCGATTGAATATGCTCATATGTAATGAGTGAGTTCAGATTCGTTTTGTATTGATAATCAATCTGAAAGTAACAGAGCTTGCACTGTCCCAGGTCACAAGAGCTCTCGGCGCAACAACAAACTCACAAGTGCTCACTCCTTTCTCTCAAAGGATTTACAACTGTCTCGGTCCTCGACAGTTCAACTCCAAGACGCGAATACAACCCTCGTTCCATTTACCCCCAGGAAGACGCTGAAGCAAAAGCAACTGGCAAGATGGATCCAGACGCACAAATTCAGCAACAGCAAGAGCCCCCGGAGAGTGAAAAGAAAAGCAAAATACAGGCTCTGCTGTCGCGGGCTCAGAGACCAGAGGTGTAAGTCTGCGGGATATGATATCCTTCTGCTGCTGACATGTATGTGGCATTACTCATTCAGATTGTTGGTGCAATTCTTCAGACAAGTATATGATGAGCGTCTGGGAACCTCCAATCTTGTCAAGCCAGCTGAACCGGAAATCTTCGAGGACGTAGCTGTCAATGAGGGTTGCAAGATGGTGAGAGGCAGTCTTATCGTGGGCAACCGGCACCTGCGATGTCACCTTCTTCGTCTGCCGATCCAGGTCCGATACAGAATTTATGAATTCTTGTTCTGTCATCACAACAGTTACGTCGAGATAGGGGCTCCATATAATCACCAAATCGGGGATTTGGCGATCCTCAGGACCTCGCACGTGTTTTACCATGAAGCATCTATCGCTCTGTATCATTCCCTGGGTGATCGACTGCTCTTTTTCAGAAATTACGGGTCGAAGTCCGCTGATTTCCTCAGACGTCAGCCAACGCCGTTGCCTTGCTGCCGTAACAGAGTCTTCCAGCAATGGTTGGAATACCCCTGTCGTAACAAAGAAATTGTGTGGAGAAGATCTTTCAAGAAAATCGTGTTTCTGATCGGAGCATCCGAGCCCCTGCTGGCAGTTCAACGTCGCTGGGCGTTTGCAGAGTTCATCACCACTCTAAGAATGAGCGAGCCCCTCAGAATCCACGAGCTTTCTGTGGTGGTGTACAATCAATGGAAAATCCCCGGATTTGATGAGGGAGATCTGGTCCGCGCTCTGTTTAGTGGCGGGATTGAATTTCTCGGAAGGTTGATATTCAGAGGCTTGGCCGAAGACGAGACGGAACGCCTGACTCAACTCATCTTTGCGCTCAGAATTCCCAATTTGACGATCGAGCGGGTCAGAACACGAGCAGAGGAGGAAGAAGTCTCTATAAATTTGTGTAAGTGACTCGCTTTTGTTGTGTGCCTTCTTCTGCCATCTGTTTACATTCGATGTTCATTGAGAATATTGGCTCGGGGCTCAGATGCATTGAAGTACGAGATCAATGATGGCGAAAAAGACCTCCCGGTCAGCCTCTGCACTTTCGAGTCCAAGACCGACGACAAGCAATCGCTTCTCGTCAGGTGTCTTTGTTGCAATAGCACTTGCAATCTGGCGGGCGTAGAGCTGACCAACTGTTTCATGTCCAGGAGCTCGACCACCAAGCAGTGAGGTGGCCATCAAGCGACTCATTGGAAGAAGATCATCATCAGCTGATTCAGATAATGTATGAAATCCCTGTGCCCCTGGGTTTTTATTCTCTAGCGGTACATGCAGCTGAGCTATGGTTAGCCTGAAGCCTTGTAGGGGGAGACGCTGAGCTACGAACCCAATGCCCAAGTCGGCCGTTCTGAGATATGGTGACCAAGATTTTGTCACTAAATTGAACGCACGTCACATCTGTTTGTATGCCATTTACCACTCCAGCGACTTGTTTTGTGGCGGCAGGAAAAGGAAGGTCTAGTGGCACCTGGAGGTTGTCGAGATCAAGAAGATTGGACATGACGAATGGTACTGAGTATTTAGTTTCAGGATGCTAGAAAATGAACCAATGCTTCTTCGAATTAGTAAGAGGACTTTTGATTTCAAATTCTACCACGGAAATACAGATATAAACAAATGAAGCCGGTGATCAGTTGGCAGATGGTTGGTGATGCCGCCTTGTGGGCGGTGAGATTTATATCCCCACTGTCCGGCAGAATCAATTTTCTTTTCACGTTTCCTTCAACAGCAGAGGAGCAGCAATCACAAAATCAGCCATTCTCTACCGTTGTTCTTCTAGATTTCTTCCCTTTGTCTCCGGGCTGAGGCAAGGGAATCCCATCGATATCCACAATGCCCAAATTTGTCCCCCGTCAACGAAAGCAGAAACATCGACAAAACAATTCAAACGATGCTGCGGTCGACACAAATGCTGCCGAGATACTGCCCATCTCCAAGAGCGAAAGGGAAGCGAGGAAGCAGAAGCTCCGAGAGGAGCTGAGGGCACAACACACGAAGATCTCGGCGAAGAAGCAAAAGCGCTTGGATAAATATATTGTATGTGAATCATGAGTTCCTTGTCGATCCACGGATGTCTGCGCAGATTTCATTGACCGTCTGAGCAGGAAAACAAACTCAAGAAAGAAGAGAACGTCGAGCTACTTAAAAAACTTGAGAAGATCAAAGTCGATACCTCCGCGCTCCAGAGCTCGAAGGAACTGGGAAAACGGAAAAGAGAGGACGAGAATATTGTGCCCACCACCGCCACAAAGGATGTTAGTACGTCGCATAATGAGAATTCGGATTCGGAATTGTCAGGCGACGAGACAGACGACTCCTTTGTCGATTCGAAAGGGACTACTAAGCGAAAGCTCGCCGAGACTGCTCCTGCACCATCGATTCCCGCCCCAGCCGTTGGTGGCGGTCTCAAACGTCCTCTGGAACTCGGTCCGGACGGCTTCCCAGTTCTGAAGAAGCGGAAAAGAGCGCCCAAGGTCAAACCGGTGGTCGTATCCGTGCCGGAGGTTCCATGGGAAGGGTTCGATTCAGATGATGGAAATGATAGTGCTGGTAGCAGCGATGAAGAGCCGGAAGACTCGGAAAGCGATGCCGAAAAAGAAACTGTGCAGGATGGAGAAAAAGACACATCTTCCGACAATGATGAAAGCGATGAAGAGGATAGCAGCAGTGATAATGAGGAGGAGGATGAAGAAGACGAAGAAGACGACGAGGAGGAGGAGGATGAGGATGATGAGCCGTCAGCACAACCCCGAATCAAGCCTCGCCAGTCCGCGTTCAAAGAGTGGGCAAGACAACAAATTAATGAGGTTGTCGGCTTCAAACCTTCTGGGCCCATTACAGCAGAGGAGCAGCCGTTCGTTCCTGAATCCAAGCGGCCCGTCAGGAACACCGTCGCTGAAGAGGAGCCGCTTCCCCTAGAGCTGCAAGTTACCAAAGGCGATCCAAACCGCAAGGCATTCAGTGTGCAAGTTGACCGTTCGGAAGAAGTTCAAAATTCACGCTTAGGTCTGCCCGTGGTCGGTGAAGAACAGAAGATAATGGAAGCCATCTACAACAATTCATCCATCGTCATCTGGGGTGCTACTGGTAGCGGAAAGACCACGCAACTTCCTCAGTTCCTGTTCGAGGCCGGTTATGGGCACCCCGACAGTCCCAACCCGGGTATGATTGCAGTGACACAACCCCGCCGAGTTGCTGCCGTCAGTATGGCCAAGCGTGTGGCCGATGAGCTGGGACAGTATTCCGACCGGGTCGCTTACCAGATTCGATTCGAAAGCAACGTCTCCAGCAAAACCGCCATCAAGTTCATGACCGACGGTATCCTTATTCGCGAGATTGCCGAAGACTTCGCGTTGAAGAAATATTCTGTTATCATAATCGACGAGGCCCACGAGCGGAGCGTCAACACTGATATCCTGATTGGAATGGTTAGCCGTATCATTGACCTGCGGAAAGCCATGAGCGAAGAGGATCCCTCCATCAAACCCCTCAAGCTCGTAGTCATGTCTGCGACTCTGCGGATCTCTGATTTCACGCAGAATCCAAGTCTCTTCCGTCAAGGCCCGCCGCCACTAGTACAAGCAGAAGGCCGTCAGTACCCTGTGACCATACACTTCGCGCGACGGACACATCGCGACTATGTTGAAGAAGCCTACAGAAAGGTCTGCAGGGGCCACCGCAAGCTACCTCCCGGAGGCATGCTCGTGTTCCTCACTGGACAGAACGAGATCAGGCATCTGGCTAAGCGGTTGAAGCAGACCTTCAAGCCCACTCGACGGGGAGAAGCTACACAGGCAAAAGTACAACTCTCCGCAAACGATGCACCACTCGAAGCGGAGGATCTGGACCTGGGGGGTGCAGACTTGTCTCATCCTGGCAACGAGGATGATGATAGTGACCTCGAAATCACCGGCTTAGATGAGAATCCCGAGGAAGACGAAGAGTTCAACCTCGGGGAAGAGGCGATGGATTCCTCAACCCGAGTGCATGTCTTGCCGCTCTACTCTCAGCTGCCCACAAAGGAACAACTGAAGGTTTTCGAACCGCCACCGGAGGGTTCTCGTCTTATCGTTCTGGCGACCAACGTTGCCGAGACCAGTCTTACAATTCCCGGCATCAAGTATGTCTTTGATTGTGGGCGAGCCAAAGAAAAGCAATACGATCTAGAGACCGGGGTGCAAAAGTTCCAAATCGGTTGGATCAGCAAGGCTAGTGCAAACCAGAGAGCTGGTCGAGCAGGTCGAACCGGACCAGGTCACTGCTACCGACTCTATTCGTCCGCGATTTACGAAGGCGAATTCGCAGAATACACCGACCCCGAAATCTTAAGAACACCCATTGAAGGCGTCGTGCTTCAGATGAAAAGCATGGGCCTACATAACGTGATCAATTTCCCCTTCCCTACATCTCCTAGTCGGCAAGGACTGGCCAAGGCCGAGAAGTTGCTGAAGAACCTTGGAGCACTCTCCGCGAACGGTAAGATCACTCAGATCGGCCATCGCCTGTCGACGTATCCGCTATCACCGCGGTTCAGCAAAATGCTTCATATCGGCCACCAGCACGGTTGTATGCCCTACGTGATTGCGCTTGTCTCCGCACTGGCCGTGGGGGACTTGTTCATCCCTGAAAACCAGATCGATCCAGCTCCGTCAAAGGAAGAGGACAAGAGTGATGGGGTTTATAAGAACTCCGATCGTTTAGAGGACACGGCTCGAGAACAGCGCCACAAGGACTACGCGAGAGCACAGCGTCTTTTCAGCAAGCACGATGATACTTCGGACGCTTTGAAGTATCTGTCAGCGATCTGCGCCTATGCTTATGCTTCGAATGGGGACTCATTCTGCGACCAGATGTTCCTGCGGGCAAAGGCATTCAAGGAGGCCACGCAGCTTCGGCAACAGTTGACCGATATTGTGCGCGCAAACAACCCTGGTCTGATTGGAGCGTACGAACCCCGTCTGCCTGAGCCCACCGATAAACAGATCAAAGCGCTGAAGCAGATTGTGACCGCTGGCTTCATCGACAATGTTGCAATCCGCGCCGATCTGGCACCTGTTCCGCCCGAGATGGACCGCACACCGAAGAGAGCCATCGATGTCCCGTACCTGACGCTCTTCAGGTCTCGAGAAGGACGGGCAACAGAACTGCAGGAGAAAGCCGTCTACGTGCACCCGTCGTCTGTTCTTGCCCGCCTTTCACCAAAGGAAATGCCGCAGTACCTGGTCTACTCTCATCTCCAACAGTCAGCGCCTTCGGTGCTGTCCGACCAGGTCCCGAGAATCAGAATGTATCCCCTGGCGGCACCGAGCGGACTGCAGCTCTCTGCAATCGCGCACGGCACGCCTCTCATCGAATACGGCAAGCCTATCGGCAAGATAGAACCGATGGACGGGGTCCCGCAGCGACGAGCATGCTGGGTCATTCCATCGCTTGTTGGCGAAGCTGGCGGCACCTCTTGGCCCTTACCGGCCAAGAAGGTCATCCAACGGAAAGATATAAAGGACGGCTGGGTGATTGAAAAGTTCACCACCTAGATGTATATAGTTTTTGGCAGGCTGGAAGCAAAGATAGACAAGAGTCATGCTTGATAAAATACATGCATACCGTTGAATAATGTCTCTTTCATCCGGACCAAAAGAAATGCAGCAGCGCCTCAACACCCTAAACGCCATATGAAGAAAACAAACCCATCCTAATAACGCTCCCTATCCCTCTTCCTGGGTTCGTAATCCTTCCTCCCACTCGAGATCTCCCCCGTCTCCGTATCCTCCCGAATCCCCAACGCCTTCTTAAACCGCTCGCTCTCCTCAATCTTCGCCTCCGCAAGCTCATGCACCTGATACGTCTTGAACTGCCTCCTCTCTCTCGGCGGCAGATCCCGCTCCCTATCCCTAGGCCCACGCCTCCACCCCCTGCGCTCCTTTCCCTCATCCCTCGCACCATCCGCCGCATCACCCCTGCGATTCTCCTCCACCTCCATCTCCTTCAACAACCTCGCCCTGAGCGCCTCACACCGCTCCTCAATCTCCTCCTCCGACAACACCTTCCCCTCGCCCTCGCCTTTGCCTTTACCCTCCTCCTCAATCCGCTCATTCTCCTCCTCGAGCCTCTCCCTCTCCTCCATAACCTTCACCTCAACCGCGCGCCGCCGATCATGCTCCAAAATCTGC